CGGGAACACACCCTCAGGACAACTTGGCAAAGGTCATGTGAATAGGAAATCAGACAGTGTAGCCTGGACTGGGAACAACTGAATAAAGGCTGCTCAAATCAGAGTGCACTGGAGGACTGTTGCTGAGTCCCTATGTTCCACCAGGGACCAAAAGGAACCATGATGCTGAAAGGAAAATTTCATATCATTAAAAACCATTTCATATTCATTCATTTATACTTGTAGCAATGGGGAAACAATCACAGCAAACTTTTGCAGGGAAAAAAATGTTATATACACATTAAAAAAAATGTGTGACTGTGTGTTGTACATTAATATGGATTAAAATTCATATTTTCTCTGGTGTCCATATAGCTTAACTCGGGGAGATAAAAAATAATGAGTCAATATAGTTTTCTCGTATCTATTGTTTAAAAGTGGGGGTTGGGGGGATAAAATTTAAAAAAAAAATCAATTTTATTTCGGTACTACCGATTTGATAGGTTTTCGATTTATTTTATTATGGTACGTGAAGATATACTTTGCTATGATTTGTCCAAATTATGCAGAAATATATGTAAAACCTCGGGCTAAAAAGTGCAGTACCCACATACAAGTGACTTACATTTTTTTTTTCTGTCGCATTTTGACTGAACGATCTGGAAATTGGAGAAGATAATGAAATGTGTACAACCTACATAAAAAGACGCTTTTCCTCAACGCTTTTCATCTTTCTCATGGAATCTCGTGCTAGAGTATAAATTGCACATTTGCTATTCTTTATCTACATCTCTGTAAAATTATTTTTTGAGAGGACACTTTTTAAGAGCAGAATGGTACAATAAAATAACATGCGAGTTATAATTTAAAAGTTATACAATTCCTTCAATATGCTAAAAAGTTTCTTTTCAAAATGGGGGGGGGGGGTTATAAGGGTCTTCTTAACTCATAAGTTTTATTTTCCACTTCAGATTATTAAATAATTCAGCAACTTTTCTCCAGGCCTAAAAAATATATTTTTTATGCAACTTTTATTAATAAGAGGACCTTCCAAGTGTTTGTGAAACGCCGATGTCCCAGTACGGCAGCTCATGGGGAAGGTTAATGTTTCTCAAATACAATTCAAACCCCAAATAAAGGTCAAGAGAGCGAAAACTGATACCCAAAGAAAGGTCTTGTCACACGGAATACATGTACACCTGTAAAATATGAAAGCTCTAGGACCAACCGTTCAAAAGTTATGGCCAAGGTTAAAGCTAAAAAAAATTGGGTCAAACGCCAAGTCAAGGTCAAATGAATAAATAAATAAATGGTGCCCAAGGAAACGTCTTGTCATGCACAAGGGATACATCTGTGAAATATAAAAGTCCTAGCACCAACCATTCAAAACTTATGGCCAAGGTTAGAGTTTTTCAAAAGTAGGCCAAACTCCAAGGTCAAAAGTCAAAAATATTTGTACCGAGGGAAATACACGAGGAATACACAGGTGAAGTATGAAAGCCCTAGCACCTACCGTTCAAAAGTTATGGCAAAGGTTAAGGTTTTTCAAAAGTAAGTCATACTCCAAGGTCAAGTTCAAAAGAACAAAAACATTTACCCATAGAAAGGGCTTATCACCAGGAATACACATGTGATGTATGAAAGTCCGAACACTACTTGTTCAAAAGTATATGGTAAAATTTTGCAAAAGTGCGTAAAACTCCAAAGTCAAGGTCAAGAGGTCAAATATGTTGATACCCAAAGAAAGGTCTTGTCAAAGGAATGTACAAATAAAATATTAATAATAATAAAGTTATATATAGATAAATATTAATAATAATATAGTTATATATAGATAGATATGAAAACCATAGCTCCAATCAATCAAAAGTTATGGACAAGAAAATGTTTTTGTGGACAAACAGATAAACAGATAGACAGGCGGATGGACAGAGCAAAAACTATATGTCCTAGAATCTTCGATAACGGGGCATAAATTTTTTTTACAATTCTAGTAACAATATGTTTTTTGATTACTACAGAGAGATAAAGCATGTATCTTGAATGTATTTTCAAGGGATAACAACATATTATTCACTTGTGAAGGGTTCAATGTATTAAGATTCTTGGTGTTAAATGATCGAGTGTTTCCAAAAACAGTTCTGTGTACAATTTAAGTTGTTATCTGTAAATAAATGTTTATGATGACTTTTTTCCCATTAATTTATCATATATGTTTTTTTTTTTTCATATTGGTATGAACATCATCATCAGGAATAAAGATGAATCTCAAGTTCTTTACACTTTTTTACCGTGTGTTTCCCTCCATATGTAACGGATGAATGTTTTCTCTTACAAGAGTTTCTATTCTCTTGAAACACAAAACAACAATTCAATTTGATTCAAATTTGTATTTTTAGTAACCATGGCAATAACGTCCATCAAAATTAAAAACCGATAAATAGAATTATGTATCTCAATGTAGTCGACTTATGTGTCAAGTTATATTGGAATTAGACCATAATTGTAAGAGGAGTAGCATTTTGAATATATTTCAGAGACATTTCTATTTTTAGTAACCATGGTAACACCATTCATCAAAATCAAAAACCGATATATAGAATCATATATCTTAGCAAAGTCTACTTGTGTGCCAAGTTACACTGAAATCAGACCAGAACTGTAGGTGGAGTAGCATTTTGAAATAATTTCACAGAAATTTATATTTTTAGTAATCATGGCAACACCGTTCATCGAAATTAAATATCGATACATAGAATTATGTATCTTAGTGTAGTCTACTTGTGTGCTAAGTTATACTGAAATCAGAAATCAGACAAAATCTGTAGGAGGATTAGCATTCGAAAATTGTGTACAAACACACAGACAGAGGGACGTCGGACACCTTACTGTCGCAAAAGATATTCTGGTTTCTGACTACAATGGCACGATGTAATAAAGATTCTGTGAAAGTCTAATTAGATTTTATTCAGTGGTAAAAGAGGAGTATTGTGAATAAGAGATGGGTACCATCAATTGTAAATAATGGACAGACAGACGTACGGACACCCTATCACAATATACTCCGCTTTTCGGGGGGGGGGGGGGGTAAAAAAACTAAAATGAAAAAAAAATTGTCCACTGTAAAACTTGGAATCCATATTGTGGCCCCGCCCTACCACCGGAGGTCCTGATTTGAATAATTTAGAACATACACTACCCCAGGATGCTTCCACGTAAGTTTCAGCTTTTCTGGCCCTGTGGTTCTTGAGGAGAGGATTTTTCCTATATATTTCAATGTTAAACTTGGATTCCCTATTGTGGCCCCGTCCTACCCCCGGGGGTCATGATTTTTAACAATTTAGAATCTACATTATCCCAGGATGCTTCCACATAAGTTTCATCTTTTCTGGCCCAGTGGTTCTTGAGAATGACCCCACCCATTTTGTCTTTTCTTGATTATCTCCCTCTTTAAGGCAAATTGGCCCTTAATTTATTTTAACAATTTAAAGTCCCCTTCACCCAAGGATAGTTTGTACCAAATTTGGTTAAAATTGGCCCTGTGGTTCTTGGGAAGAAGTTGAAAATGTGAAAAGTTTACAGACGGACGGACAACGGGTGATCAGAAAAGCTCACTTGAGCTTTCAGCTCAGGTGAGCTAAAACAGAAGTTTCTGTCGAGACTGTAGCTCTATTGGTTTGTACTTATAACAAAGGAAGAGAAAAGTAGCACTTGGGACTTGAAACTTTGCAACAGCAATAAACAGAAAAATGGTCCTTAATTTAGTCTCTTTTTGTGGCAAGATTGCAATCAGACTAAAACTGTAGGAGGAGTAGCCTTTAAAAAGAATTTTACAGAAATTTCGATTTTAGTTACCATGGCAACATCATCAAAATCAAAAACCGATAAAGACAATTATGTATCTTAGTGTAGTCTACTTGCATGCCATGTTATATTTAAAATCAGACCAAACTGTTGGAGGAGTAGCATTTTGAAAGTATTTCACAAAAAATTCTATTTTTAGTAACCGTAGCAACACCGTTCATCGAAATAAAAATCGATATACAGAATATATATCATAATGTAGTCTACTTGTCTACCAAGTTACGTTGAAATCAGACCAAAACTGTAGAAGGAGTAGAATTTTGAAATTATTTCACAGAAATTTCTATTTTAGTAACCATGACAACACCGTTCATCAAATTCAAACACCGACAAATAAAATTATGTATCACTAATATGACCAATTAATCAGAACTCTAAGAGTAAATGAAACAATTTAAGATAGATTAAAGTATTCTTAACATTATTTTATATGTAGATAAAGTAACTTAAAAACATTATTTGTGTGTATTTTCCCAAAGTAAGTAGTAAACAGTGATTTCTGTTCACTTGTACTTCATCCCCTTAGAACATTTTTTCTAGAGAAATATGGGGCCCATTTTACAAAAGAACTTAGGACTAAGATCAAAATTTAAATTCTGCTTATAGCTTTTAAAGTAACATTATATTGAAAATGGTTTTAATCTTTTGAAAAGGAATGCAGTAAAATATTTTTATGCTAGAAATTTTAAACAAAATTTTACAATCAACTTGAGTTTTTGGTCTTAGTCGCAAGTTCTTTTGTAAAACGGGTCCCTAAAAAAAATGTTCAAAACAATGAAATACGATTGAACAGAAATCAGTGGTATCCTTATGTTGAAAATGAACTAGATAGATTCAGTATGTTCACCTTCTGAGTTTAAGAGATAATTTTCAAAATCCAAACAAGTTTTTTGTCAGTGTTTAGAGCTTTCTTAACTTCTACGGGACAATATACTCAAACCTCGTTATCTTGAACTCCAGTCTCCATGGGACGAGAAAGATCTTCAAGATATCCAAGAATTCAAGATACAAAAGGAATATGTGGTCGGGACTTCCAATCACTCTGACAAATCCATGGTATTTGAGATGCAAGTGTTTGAAATTACAGGCAAAGCAAAACCATAATGCATTTTCCCACTTTCAAATGCAGAAGTGTGTACAAAAAATAAAACTCACTGTCATTTAATAACAATAGTTTAATATTGAATAACATTTCTTCAGGTCATCAGATAACCTGACATTACTGTCATAATTGTACTAAAACAGGACAAAGTCAGAACACATATAATTTACAGCAACCAATTCTCTCATTACAATTTGATTAACCACATCAACTTTTCTTCATACAAAAAACAGAAATTGATCAATTAAGAATAAGGAGTATTTTGATCACAAGTTAACATGTTCTATGTTGGAGGACAAAAACCTTTAATTGATTGCATCTCTCTGTGGAATGGTAGTTTTCAGGTGTATCAGTTTAACTTTAATGGATATCAAATTCACCTCCGTTACATTTGTATTCCCAAATAAACAAAATTATTTTATATCAGAAGAATGCCAGCACTTTTAATACATATTGAGCATCAATGAGCAAATAAATTTTACTTTAGCACTTTAGGAAAAATAAACACCAGTTGGCAAGTTTATAAATGCAGTTACAATATTTAGGAATGTTTATGTAAATTTGCATCATCTCCTTTAATTACAACTTCATGGCATCTATTGCACCTACTTCACGTGTATCCAGAAAATGTCCGCGTTAGGCTTAGTAGAGGGACAGTGACTAGAAATGATAACTAACCACAAATTGACAGGCCTAACATTTGCAATGCAATACAAAAATGCACCAGTACAGACATACATAGGAAGGCTTTGGTCAACTAGAACAGATGCATCAACACAGTTATACATGGTAATTACCACTTGGAAGTTTATAGCACTAGTGATGAATTATGCAACTTGTACAATTCATGTTGCAGAAAATATTTCTTTTCCACCATCCATGTCTCAACTAAAAATTTGTACAAAAATATTGCTAAGCTGATTTTCACCAGTTCACTGTTTCACAAGTGTCATTAGAAGAAACTGCTAACCTTCCAGGTGCACCACCATGCCAGCAATTTGTTAAATTATCCTAATATTCATTGCGTTAATCTTTACTCTGGAAGATATATAGGTTATTGGTAGCTGCTACAGCTAGGATGTTCTCTAGGGGATGCCAGGCTGTGTGGAGAATCTTTTTATTGAAATCTAGACAGTCAACATTTATCTCCTCTTTCTTACGTTTGCCACCGGTACACACTTTACGGGGTTTTAAAATTGTTCGTGGTTTCATGTTTTCTCTACACGCTTCCAGAGTTGTGTCCCTTTTGGCTTCACGATCAAACATTCTAAAGAAATTATTGTAAGATCCTGTCATAATGTGCCTGGAAAACAAAAGAATATGTGGATCAGATGTAGTTAAGTGTCCCAAAATCACCATAACAAGATGGCATGTAGAGATCCAATCTTAAAATTATTTTTAGGGATTCAAATTTCTAGTGCTTTTGTTTCGCATCATTTCAAAGTTTACACTTTACCTTAATAAAATAAAATTTACCTATCATCTCCACTCCATGAACATTCGAATTTGTCAAATATACAGTCATTTTCATACAGAGAACATAATTTACTCCTGAGGTACTCATGAACTTGATACGTTTCTATTGGCTTTGTTTCCATCAGCAAGTCCCAGACTTTGATGGACAAGTAGTCTCGTGTCACCATATAACGTCCATTATGACTAAACTTCACATCCGATATACTAGATATAATCTCAGAAAAAAAACTCCTATTGGTGGGGTCTTCTGGCTCCTCAAACACTGAAATATACATCATATTCATCAATTCTAATTTCTAGTTAGAAACAATCCATATGTACAGAATCACTCATTAAAACAGCAATTAGTATCCCAACAACAGAATAAAACTCTTTACGTTGATATGTGTTTACAACTGGTGAAATAACTTATGTAAAAAACGTCAATGACCTTAAATAAAAAAAACAATTTATCCAAATTTATACTACATATGTTATAGTTCATCAAAAACAAAAACAAAAAAAAATAAATAAATAAATAAAAAACAAATTGAGAGACTATAAACACATACATTTAGCATGTTTATCACATAATGCCTGCTCTCTCATATCACAAAGGCGTATAGTGCCCTTACTACTGCTGTAGACAAATAAGTTACATTCATGGGGATGAAATTCAGCAGCAGTTATCACTTCCGTTAGCTCCTCCATGTTGGCAGGTTTTATGTCCACAATATCTTTCAAAGTCAAGGACAAGAATTTTTAAATAACAAAAGAGCAGTAACTCTTCTTTTCAGATCAGCATTCTCATGAAGCTATTATTTTATCTAAATTCACTTTCAATTGTAAATGTTTCCTGTTAAACAATATTTAAAATGATTTTCATGGAAATTAACAAAACTGCAGTTTTCCAAATGTGTCAGGTCTACCAAGAAAATGTGTGAAAAATTGAAATGTCAGGTGCGTTATCTTTATATCAATCTAAAGGACTGATAACGATGTGGCTGTAAATACTGCAATCAATAGTGACGAAAAACACATTAACACAGGACAATCCCTCCCCCTCCAAAAATAGCATTAAAAGCCACAAATAACAATTCTGTATGTGTGAGGTAAAGGATACTGAAGCTTTGGTCTGTGACTTCTAAATGCCAAAGGTTAATACGGAGGTCATCCGCTGACAGGTATGTTTCCTGATCGCTGTTCACAGAGATTGAGTTGATGTGGTAAGTGTGGGCATTGGCAAAGATTCGGCGGGGACTGGCCTCCACCATCAGCTCCATGGGTTTAAAACTGGGCACCCTCAGGCTGGTCACATTATTGGGGTCCCTCATCAGCCCTGACTCATCCTTCAGGTTATACCCCTCAGGTCGCTTGTCTCTTTCTGTCACCTTCCACAACTTGATGGTCTTATCTAAAGTAAATGAAAGAAAAAGTGAGCAAACTCACATACCCGATGCTCCCACAAAACTTGACAATGAACACATAATGAATGGCATGGTGCACTTTAAATACACGGTATAATTTCTTGCAAAAAATCATGACATCAAAGCTTCTTGCACATGACATTCAAATCTTTGTCTGTCACAAATTTGATTGGGCTGAAGTTTCTCGATAAATAATTGAATCAAAATTTCTTGGTAATAAACAAATCTATACATTATGTCTGAAATACCTACAAAGTTTGAGGAAATTCTGTGCAGGAATTATGCTGACAAACTGTTATTTGAATTCCTCAGTGATTTTGATTTGTTAATGAGTGCAAGTCCATTTAAATTGTAAAGTGTAGTCATTTAAATTTGTTTATATACTGTAGTTATGAAATTATTAAAGGCAAAGCACTAATATGAGGTGTGTGTGTTGGAGGGGGGGGGGGGGGGGGGGAGGGGAAGGGAGAGAACTTTTTGCATACTTCAATCCAAGATTTTGTGTGTGTGTGTTGAATCTTTAATATTTTGATCTCAAAATCAATAGGGGTCTTTCAAGGTCATAAAATATTGCACATAAAATTTCATTAAAAAAGCTTATTCCAGTGGATTTCTTTATTATGTAGCTGGAAAGTTTATTCAATAATAGCCAAAACTCTAAGGCCAAAAATAATGAAATCAGAATTTCCTGGAAATATGTGTACTATGTATACACACTGTGTACTAAATATCTGCAAAGTTTGATGAAATTCTGTGCAGCGGCTTAAGAGGTGTTGCGTTGACAAACTGTTCATCTCTATATTCAAGATATGGCCAAAAATCTAAGTTGAAAAGTGCCAAAATTTCCAGAAAATAATGGAATCCGAATTTCCTGGCAATATGCATATCTACACACTGTGTCCTAAATATCTGCAAAGTTTGACAAAATTCTGTGCAACCGCTTAAGAGGAGTTGCGCTGACAAACTGTTCATCTCTATATTCAAGATATGGCCAAAAATCTAAGTTGAAAAGTGCCAAAATTCCCAGAAAAATAAAGGAATAAAATTTCCTGGCAATATGCACAACTACACACTATGTCCTAAATATCTGCAAAGTTTGAAGGAAATTCTGTGCAGCGGATTAAGAGGCGTTGCGCTGTCAAAAAAACAGGACTGACGGACCTGTCAAAAACATTTTAACCCCAATAACGCACGCAGACTTTCGCTTTACTACAGCATGTGTCATTGTAACTATCCAACTGTGATGACTTTTCTGTATTTTACATGCATAGAATTTTATAAATTTTAGCATGTTAAGATGGCTTTCTATTTTAGCATGTGAACTTGCACATTTTCCGAACACATTTTGGGCAATTTTCTGTCCTTGCATCATAAACTAAGGTCTATACTGTGAATAGGGCGAGATCTGCTGAAATTCTCAATTCTATTCTATGCCCCCCCCCCCCCTAAATGAATAAAATAAGAAAAAAATAAAAAACAAACAAAAACAACAAAGCACTGCAGATATTTTTACACTGCATTCTTGCTGGAGCTTGAATTTACCATTATTAAATAATTTCTGAAAATTGCTAGTGAATTTTGAATTTCGCTTGTAAATGCTTTTGCCACTAGCTTAAGTTTGCTTGTGGTAATAAAAGTTAATTTTGAACTCTGGGTAAAATACCTGCATATGCAAGTTCAAACTTATACATACATCCCTATAAAAGTTAAGGGCAGGAACTGAAAATTTCTTATTTTCTTGCTAAGGTCTCGAGGGATAACTCTGTCAAAAATCATCGGATCATGACCAAATTTTGAAGTTGACCTGCATATTCCCATGAGGTATGCATATGCCAAATTTGAGTTGAATGTGTTCAACTTTTGCCGAGATCATGAACGGTAAGTCAATGATGACGGAATGACAGAAAAAATGAGCAGGTAAACACTATATGTCTCCAGCCATTTTAAGGTGGGGGCATAAAAATATTCAAACTAACCATTAGTGGACAGTAAAAAATTGGCTGGATTAGATCTCTTTAACCATCGTATCTTGTTTATCTTCTCTTCAATCTCTAAACTTTTGAGGTAGTCAAACTCAGGCTCATGACTTTGAAATGTACTGTATACATTGTACTCTCCTCGTGGTGGTATGGCAATTTTTCCCTAAATAATATACAAATTTACAGCACTGTTAGTCTGCTTAAGATAAATTACCTGTAAATATACTTGATATGAAATCAATTGAAAAATCAAAATTTATTAAAATGATGATGAGTGCACTAATGACAATGCAGAGTATGCACTCAATGTTTCTTCACTTGACAAAGCCTTCAAAATAAAACATGAGAAAAACTATTTTAAACACTGGAACATGCACACACCAAAATTTTTTGGAATTAAGGAAAAATAACTCTGCAAAGATTTTTACCAACCAGAAAAAAAAATATATCTATGGAAGAAAAATAAAAGCAGATTGCTTTGCTTGAAAAAAATAGGAAATCATAAGACAGAAAGGCTGTTATAAAATGTACAAAATGATCCTAGGAATCGGATGCAAGTACTATTAGTACTTACGGCTTTATCTCGTTGGAAGATGACGACACGTCCCCCTTTATCTCCTGTTGCTAGTAAATCACCCGTGCTGTTGAACTCCACACAGGAAATTATATCAGCTGTAATGTCAAGATGCAACTTGTTAAGTACAATGTCATAATATGTGACACATTTAATCGACTTCAAGCATTCACGTAATTATATATTTCCTAGAAAATTCTAATAAAACACCACTAGCTTTATAGATTTGTTTTCTTGAGATCTTAGGCTCAAATATTCCAGCCCAACAATGACCTAAAATATAAATTGAGGGCATAAAACACCTTCAAGAAAAAATAAAATATTTTTTACAAAATGATCAATGTAGTCGATTTGCAATGGTCAAGTCAATTTCTTATTTGTATTGAATTAAATTTTTTTAAAGAAATATAAATTTTTGGATAAAATTTCAATGGGAATTTTCCTTTTTTTATTGTTCATATTTGTGTGCATGTAGTTGGGGCATTGATATAGTCAATTTAATTTAAATCCTTAAGAACTGCAAGCCGAAAATGTTGTTTTCAATATTAAAAGCTTTCAACTGCTATTGCATTCATAACTATAATTTTAAAACAGAAATTACAAAAAATCGGGAGATTTGGCATTGAAATTGTATAGCATATTTAGGGGGTCCAAGCAAAAAAAAAAAATTGGGAGAGTAAGCAGATCTGCTACAGAAATCTTTCAAAACCCCTTGCCATAAAACCCTCCTATTTTCAGAGTTTGAAAGTCATGTTTCTCATATTCAAGGAAAATGTGTCAAAGGTATCCTTCATTGCCATAATGATTTTTGAAAGAAGATCAGATAGATTTAGTAAAAAAAAAAATCTTTCAGTTCACTCTTGAGCAGCATAAGATTTGATTTTCTCCGAAAGGTGGGTTGTGTCCAGTCAAGACATTACTAACATAAGCCACATAAATATGCTGAAACCCAGTCTTTATATCCATACTGATGTGGCAAAGTTTCATTCAAATCTTATCGTATTCTTAAACTAATAAAAAGACAGTTACTTATTTATGAATATGCCAGTAATTTATTCAAATCATATAATACTTGCTACCTGCCGCTTGGGTCAAAAAGTTTATCCTTTGGTGTTCGTATACCCGATAAATATTTTTCAGATCTCATTTAAAGATGACAAGTAAACTATGTACTCTTTTCCAGAAAACCTTTTAGTTAAATTTTTGCTACTGGAAAAGCACGGGCCCCCGCTTTCCGGAAATGAGCACTTGATGTAAGAGATCGTTACCTTCAGTGACATCTTCAGTTTCTATGGCACCCTTCACTTGCGAGAAGCACCATTGAATATCTCCACCATTTCCTTCAAATATATAGAGAATAGTTGCTCTAGCTTAAATGTATGAATTTAGCGCAGTAAATTACTTCAAAAATAATAAACAATCTTTCAATCGTGGGGGTCAATGCAAGAAAAAAATCTTACCTGCCATGATAAGCAAATACTAAGTTGATAAATAAGACAAGACACCTCATTCAATCCCATTTACATCTCCTTACATTGCAAATTTCATTATATTCGACATGGATGATACTAGATTTTATTCAGTCGCTATTTTCCCAATTCAATATGGCGCACTCTTTCCGAGCACTCAGGCGTGACGTCATGCACATTTGGAATTTTGGGTAGAGACTTCCGCATTTACCTCAGGGCAAACTCAAGGGTAAAACTCGAAATCTGAAATATTAATATGTCTTACGAATTTTATTTATTTCATTTAAAGTCTAAATTAACATGCTGTTAGTTATATACGATAGACCTAGGTTTCTTGTAAGTTATTACATCAATACACCAGCTTCGCGGATCGTCATTAGCACAGCACTAGATATCAAGGTTATTCCTCTTTGTACAGTGCTCGATCAGCATCAGAGCCATTAATATAATTTGTCTAAATTATTAAAAAAAAAAAAATCTTTTCATTATTCACTCTTGCACAAGTCTTGACGAGATATATAAAGGTAATTTATTTATTTATTTATTTATTTATTTATTTATTTATTTATTTATTTATCTTTGTTGACCCAGGTGACAAACAGGATACTGAGAACAGTCTACGAACTGGTAAATGTATGAATTGTTATATAACTGAATTTATTGAACACAAAATTTAAACAATAAATTATCATATTGTAAATTTTGTACTTACCTATACACGGTATATATTCATTGGAATATTAGACTGTTGAATGTTGCTTTTGGGGTGATTGTACTTTTAATCCGATGTTTTGTACATAAAAAATTACCCTGTTTGTGTTAATGACCTTTAAATGAAATAACAATTCTCTAACATTAAAGTGACAAATACGTACTGCTGCATTGGCAGAATTCCCAGTAGGAAGTTTTCTTTTCCGTGTTTTTCTTTCTTTCTTTCTAATGTAAAAAAAGTCTTCAAAGAAAAAAATGATGAAATTTGTTAACTTAGGAAATTTTTTTTTCTAATTAAAGAACACACACAAATCTTGTGGTATATTTGATAAAACTTTTTATTTATATTGATGGACGTCTTGTCATTATTGCCAAGAATAGAAAATTTTCTATATTAACAAACAAGCAAACAAACAAACAAATGCTACTCCTCCTTTCTCTTTAGCTTTTCACTTCTCACCTTGACAAAGTTTGAATATCGATGTCATGCTAAAATACCATGTGACGGATCAATGAATTTTCCACTTTTCAAGTGCCCCCAGATTCCTATCGAATCCAAATCAAATGCGCCATCATTCTTAGCCCTAAGGCCATTCCAAGTTTTTTCTCTGTTTAGCGTCCACCCATCTTTCAAAATCCTACCTACCTATTCGCAAAAAACACACAAGCCAAAAAATAAAAACACAGACTTTAAAGTCAATTATATTGTCGAAGGATATAATTTCATTAAGATTTTTTTCTTGTAAAAATATTTACCGGTATTCTTTTGCAAAACTAAGGTATAAATTGCTTAAAATATACCTAATACGACATATTGTAGACAAATTTGTAGAACAATTGAAAGAACTCAAAGATTTCAACCAGAATAATCAATTTTAGGACTCCTGATTTTGTTTATTTTTTCTGATATGGGGTGTCAGAAACCAAGGCGCACGTGGACGCTAAACATAGAAAAAAAAACTTGGAATGGCCAAATATAGCACCTGGACCTTTGACACAAATGTCCTCATAATTCTGGCAGGCATATGCAGGTGATAGTGGAATATTGCTACATAAATAAGGGAAGCTGACGATAGAAAAGTTAAAGTCATCCCATTTGTCGTACAGTTTACCTTCGTTTTTAGTTGGCCCTTATCCTCTGTAGTCAGCAAAACATCCAAATATGAAACAGATGTAACAGACTGTCCGTTTTTTTATAATATTTTATATTGAAAAGTATACACATGTAAATAGTGATGGGATGTCCGTAGGTCCTTCCGTTACATCAAAGGGTAGCCACCCATTATCCGTAACTCCTCTTACACCATTGAATGCAATTCAATGAATTTTTTACAAAATCTTTATTACATAGTGGCATTATGCACCTCCTTTTTTAGGTTTCGATCTTACACGTATTTGGAGGTTTTCCGTGGCAAAACATGGACGCTGCCATTTTTTTTTTTAATTTTGGGGTTACCCTTCTCTTATCCGAAACCCCTCCTTTACCACTGAATAAAGTTTAGACATTCATAGTATCTTATTCTATACCGTTATTGCATGCCTTCGCTATCTCTCAATTTACGTTTCGATCAGACCGATATTTGGGTTTTCCATAGCAAAACATGGACTTTGCCATTTTTGTGCTTGATAAAGGGGGTACCCATTTTGTTAATGCAACACCTCCTAAACCCCTGAATGAAATTCAATGAGACTCTCACAGAATCTCCTTTACATACTGCCAAGAAATGCACTTTGCCATTATACTCATATGGGAGCGGGGGTGTCATTTTGTGAGAGTTCAGTACTCACCGTACCTCTAGTTTTATTTTATTGTGGTTAGTTTATGATTTGTATGAATGGGGCGATCATATTATAGATTTACCTCTACCAATTGTATTTCTTCAAAGTCCCAGGCAAGTTAATGAACGCTTCCTTTAGCAACTGGTGGGCAAAGTAGCAAAATGTTTTTCTAGAAGTTACATGTATACGAATGACTTATAATATATAGCAAGATAAACTAAGAGTACGAAGCGCACCTACTTTTGAATGGTAGTGTCTTTTTCTAATTTAAGGACATACGCAACATAGTTTGAACTTTATTGTCTTTTTCCCTGGAGTTGAAGAGTTCCAATACTTGAAGGACCTGTGTGTTACTCTTTCAGTGTCTATTTATGGTGTTGTACACATCTTCTAAAGCATGCAAGTTTGGAAGAAAATAACATCTAAAATATATGTTTAGTAATTTTTGTATATTTTTCTTTGAATTTCACAAGAATTTACATCAAGTTATATCTTTTCAAAACCCCTGGTAATGCATGCTGATGTTTTGTCTACGAACATCTGATGGAACTATAATTTCAAAATAAGAATATCTTGAAAATTTATCAGTACGTAAGGTACGTTGCGTATGTCCTTAAAGCTGGAATGATAATTTGATAAATACTTTATGTATTGATTGAAAATTAGACAAAGACACTAGGAGGATAGGATGACAATGCTGTATGAAGTTAACTGCCTGGTCAAAGATCAGGTAATTGTGCTCTGAATATGCAGCTTATTGTGTATGTGCTTTATGGAATGTACAAGGTAATTAAGTAAAATCAATATCGACATTTCCTTCCACATTTACTTGTTTGACATTTGACAAAGATTTTCAGTTCATAAAATCATTTAGAAGTAAGATTTCTTGATGGAATAATTGCTCTGATTAATGCGACAAGTCACAGGGGTGGACCGATAAAACTTTTCATCTGGCATTAATGCACAATTAGCCGAATGCGTTGGTGGACCTATTTTACTTTCTTTTCTGTGATTTTAGTAGACCATAGTGTACACTTTGTAACCATATGCTGTACAGAAGTAAAACAGTGAAAATAATATGACGCCAAAACAAAACTTTATTATTCTAGAATTACTGACAATTTGCTTTTATAAAACACTGTATTGAATTTGAATATCCATACATCAATTTAGCAGTTTGGTACAAATATCTACGGACATTTGCAGACATGCATAGTTCAAATGTTCATAATGCAGATGCATAATACAAGACAACTCCATCATCAAACAAAGGCACATCTTCACCATCATACAACACACAAAGAAATTTAATACAATATCTCTTGGCATGAAATGTACCCCTTTTTGGTGCACTTCATAATTCAGGGTCTCTAACTTTGTCAGAATCGGATCAAAGCAAGAATCCACCACTTGTCTTCCTATCATGTGACTGAATTTAATACGCTTTTTGCTTTAGAGTATTTTTCCAAATAAAAAAAATCTTAAAACTCACCCTACTATACAAAACAGGACGTTTACATGTAATGACTTTTGATTTTGGGTATATTAACTCTTACATTACAGGTTGATCACATGTTTAACATGGCAAGGGTTCTTTATCATGGAAATTAAGAAAACTCTAGATTTCGTAGAAGTCACATTTAAAAGATCCAAGTCTCTCATTTATCATTGCTATCAAAACTAAAAGTACTGTGAGCACTGAGCTCACAAACTGATACCCCCACTCCCTTGTGAGTATAATGGCAAACTGCGTTTCTTGGCAGAATGTAAATGAGATTCTGTAAAGTTCCATTTAATTTCATTCAATGGTTTAGGAGGAGTTGCATTAGCAAAATGGGTACTCCCTTTATCGAGTATAATGACCATGCTTTGCGATGGGAAACCCCAAATATCTGTCCGACCAAAACGTAAAAAAAGGTCACAATGGCACCACAGTTTATAAGAAAGATTCGGTGAAAGTCTCCTTAAATTTTATTCAGTAGTATAGGAGGAAACGCGGATAAGAGATGGGTACTTCCAATGTTATATAAAGAACAGTAATATCCATGCTATGCTATGGGAAATCCCAAATATTTTTTCGACGGAAACGTAAACTATGTGATGCACAATTACACTATGTGATAAAGATTCTGTGAAAATCTCACTAAATTGCATTCAGTGGTATAAGAGGAATTGCGGATAAGAGGTAGGTACCCCAAATGTTAAAAAAAGAATAACAAAGTCCATGTTTTGCTGTGGGAAACCCCAAATATTTTTTTCGATGGAAATGTTAAATATGAGGTGCACAACGACACTATGTAATAAAGATTCTGTGAAAATCTTATTAAATTGCATTCAGTGGTGAAAGTGGAGTTGCGGATAAGTGATGGCTACCCTAGAGCGTACCAAGGACTCCGATCGAAACTTAAAACAAGAGATGCACAACGGCACTATGTAATAAAGATTCTGTGAAAGTGGAGGAAATGCGGATAAGAAAAGGGTAACCCCCCCCCAATATTATAAAGGAATGACAATGTCCCTGTTATGCTACGGAGACCCCCAATTTTTGTTCGATCATTTTTTAATTAAATTGTATTTAGAGATGTAAGAGGAGTTGCGGATAAGGAAGGCTACCCCACGTGCAACGGACGGATGGACAGTGTGTAACTGCAATCACCCAATCACCCCTCCCCTACTTTTTAAGAATGGA